GAGGAGGATTGCTTCAGCCCAGGAGTTTGAGACCAGCCTGGGCAACATGAGGAGATCCCATCTCTATAAAAAATGTTAAAATTAGCTGAGTGTGGTGGCACACACGTTTGTCCCAGCTACTCAGGAGGCTGAGGCAGGAGGATTGCTTGAGCCCAGGAGGTTGAGGCCGCACCGAGCTATGATCCTGCAGACTGCACTCCAGCCTGGGCAACAGAGCAAAATCCTGTCTCAAGAAGAAAATAAAAAAAGCACTTAAACTGACATGTGAAAGTAATCTCATCATAAACTGAAATTATAAATGAGTCACATTAGTGACAAATTTTTATTTTTACTCTCATCTGTCAATGTTACCAAATTATTTTCTCAAAAAAAGTTTTATTTTGTGCATACCTAAATAATTTAATAGACCAATCCTGCAGAGTACTTCCCTCTCCATTCTGAAAAATATATAACACAAAGTACTCAAAAAGTAACCAGCAAATTAACACATGTGAAAGATGGTACTAGGCACCCAGGAATTATGTACCAATCCTGGAATTCATACTCAAGCTGCCCTGGATTTTCAACACCTCCATCCCCCAGAATGAGGAGTCTCTTTACCCAGGTGTCCCTACATTACATGGCTGCAGCAGGGATCTCTCTGCTATCATCAGGGAGAACAAGCCCTGGAAATATGTGAATAAGGAATTCCAGACTATATGGTGATAGAACAAATCTTTTCCCTAGAACATTTAAGTCCCTCTTCTTTTCTGCAAAGAACAAATAATTCACAACTTCAGGATATCTGATGATTTTGTTGCACAACACTTAATAGCACAAGCTCTGGAGTGAGGCCAGCCTTCATTAAAACCCCGGGATCACCATTTAAGTTTCGTGACTGAAGCATGCTGTCTAACTACTCTGAATCTCAGTTTCCTCATCTGTGAAACTATGGCAATAATAATGTTACCAGTATCAACAGGTGGTTGTGAAGATTTTTATTATAAGCTATGTTGAGAGAAATGGTGCTTAACTGTAAGCAGCTGCCCAGAGGATTCTTGTTCCCTGGGAAGGTAGCTCAGGGATCAGGCCCTTAGGCGGTAATTAAGAGAGCATGAAAATTAAGCGTATAGCAGGTGTGCTGGCAAGAGGGCATCAGGAGACAGCAGTTGGATATTTACCGGGAACCAAGATGAGGCTAAGACTTGCCCCTCCTTGCTATGAATATAACTTTGTTTTTAAGGGGAACAAAACATTTATTTCAAATTTTCTCTGGTATGAAGACATATATTCAGTGAAAAATGTAGGGATTCTAAAATCCCCTCAAAGCATTCAGGAGGACCATTTTATACTTCATTCATTGCCAAACACATGTCTTCCCTCGGTGCCATGCTAGAGGACTCTGAACAGTACAAAGGCCAACAGAGAGCAAAGGCTAAGCAATAGAAACACACTGACAGTAAGTCAGTCAACAAACTTGTATTGAGCACCTACTATGCACTAGACTCCATGTTAGGGATGACGAACAAACTGACATGGGCCCCTGCCCTCATGGAGTGTATATTTCTAGGTAACAGGTCCTTGGTGCCAACCTGGGGACATGCTACAGCAGAATCACCTGTGGTAAAAATGTAGCGTATTCAGAATCTGAACACAGACCCCCCACCCTGACCTAATGAATCAGACATTCTAGGAGGCAGAGGATACAGGAGGCTATATTTTTAATCAGTGCCCTCTGGTGAATCTGAGAAACACCCACACTCAGAGAACATTGGTGTTTCTCAAAGGATGGTCTTTTGACCACCTGCATCAAACTCAACCTCCTAAGAGCACAACACAGGCACATGTGTTTTCAATGTACCCCAAGGTCTTAGAAGCGTTATGCTAGACTGTCTTTCTCTTACACCTCTTCCTTCCTATTAAATGATATGTATGTGAAAGTGCAATATAAATTGCAAAGCATTATACAAAGTTAATTGGGGATAGTTCCTAGGACCTTTCAATAAACTGAGGAAGTCCAGCATATACAAGCAACTGAAGTCAGTGTGGAATATAATGAGGCATTCCTCAGAGCTCAACAGGTCTCCGACAGAATCTTCATGGTTCTTCTTATAGCAGCAGAGCCTTCTAGCAGGTAAGGCTCCTAAATCAGTGCTGTTCCTTCATATGAAGGTCCTTTTGCCTCTGGCCCCTGGAGCAGAGCTGTGGTGCCTGAGCAGTTACATACTTGGGTGACATCCTCTCTGAAGGTCCCTAGAGTATATGCCCTCAGCTGGGCCATTAGCAGAACCTTTTATATCATGACAGAAATATTTGTTAGGTGGACCCTATGAGAGCATAGTAATATGCCATAGCAATATACCCTTTAAACATTTAGCTTTCCCAACAGATCATGAAATACATTTTCAGGATGCAGGATTAGGATGAAGAAGAAACAGAAACTGGATGGATAGGAGGGGACAGGTTGGAGATAGGATGGTTAGAGAAGACACTAAATTCCCATTTTCGCTGATACGGTTTGGCTTTGCGTACTCATGCAAATTGTAATCCCATGTGTGGAGGGAAGGAGGTGATTGGATCATGGGGGTGATTTTTATTATTAGCTATATTGAGAGAAATGGTGCTTAACTGTAAGCAGCTGCCCAGAGGATTCTTGTTCCCTGGGAAGGCAGCTCAGGGATCAGGCCCTTAGGCAGTAATTAGGAGAGCATGAAAATTAAGTGTATAGTAGGTGTGGTAGGAAGAGGGCATGGGGGAGAGCAGTTGGATATTTACTGGGAGCCAAGATGAGGCTAAGAACTGCCTCTCCTTGTAATGAATATAACTTTTTAAAAAAGAGGAACAAAACATTTATTTCAAATTTTCTCTGGTATGAAGACATATATTCAGTGAAAAATGTAGGGATTCTAAAGTCCCCTCAAAGCATTCAGGAGGACCACTGTACATTGAGAGGACACTCTCTCGCCTGCTGCCATGTAAGACGTGCCTATTTCACCTTCTGCCATAATTCTAAGCTTCCTGAAGCCTCCCCAGCATGCAGAACTGTAAACCAATTAAACCTCTTTGCCTATGAATTACCCAGTCTCAGGCAGTTTTTACAGCAGCGTGAGAACAGTCTAATACAGGTGCCTTTAGAATATCCAGGTGGGGTTGCCACATATGGCTGCAAATCAAGAGTGTGAAGGTCAGAAGGTTAAGTAAGACCAATGACAGACATATAGCAGGCTTCAGCTAGAAGTGGCAGGCAGTCTGCATAGTGAGAAAATAGATGAAGAAAAACTCAGCAAATGGAGAAACATACAAAGCAAGAGGGGAGAGTGTAATGAAAGACCGTAAAAAAGAGGGGCCAAAGAGCGAAGAGGTGACTCCTAAGAGTGTAGGGCTAAAAAGCCAAAAGGAGGTTAACATTTCAAGGAAAACGAATCGCCCGTGTCAAATACCACAGAGCAGTGAGTAAGGACAGGAACTGAGGACAGGCCCTGGGATTCACGATCTGCATGTCACTGGTGACAACGTCCAAGAGCAACAGACTGGGGGAATGTGGAACTATTTCCTTCACGGTTTTGGCCAGCATGCTTACTAATAAATCTCAATTCCCTTCATAGCTCTGATTTCATTATTTACTGCAAAGGATTCTCAGTTACACGGATGTTATCATTGAACATTAGATACTTCGCTTTCCGAATGGCTGCCTCATTAAGAATTGAAATCTAGCTGGATGTGTCCTCATCGGACTTCCCCAGCCTTCTACTCGCTCTCACCTTGCCCTACTCTCCCTACCTCCGAAGGAGAATGGAGCACGATTTTGCAGAGATTGTGGTGCACCTCTGCCATATGGTGGAGACTCAAAGAAAATTTAATTACTAATGTGAATGGAAAGGATTTAGGAAGTGGGTGGGAAGAAAGTCTCCTCTCATATTGGAAATACAGTTACTTCCTCTTTCAAAATAAATATAAGTATTTATATTTCAAAGTTAAATATAACTAGATGATAGATGTACCCTATAGTGCAGCATGACAGGGAAGGTGTAGGCTTTGGCGTCAAATCAACCTACGGACTGAGTCTCAGCTGTTGCACATTGCACACCTGCAAAGAAGGGTAATATTCTTTACCTGTAGGGTGGTTGGAAGAGCTGAACTGAGTAACGTGGAAAGAGTCAATCACAGGGCTTTGTGCAGAGTAGAAGGGCAGTATAAGGTAGCAGGGGGCTATTAGTACTGGCTATTGTTTACTCATCCTATAAGCTGCTTATTCAGAAAACTACAGTAACTTTCCAAATAATTTGGGCGGGAAAAACTCACCACCTTTTATCTAGAAAGATCTAATCACTTCTTTGAACGCACATTCACCCAAAAGGGCAAAACTCCAACCAACATGAAAAGCAGGTCTTGTGAAAGTCCACCTGGTGCCATCTCCCAGCCATTTTTCTGACTTCAGATCGGGGAACATCGTGTATTAGAAAGTGTTGTGACATGTCCAAGGAAATCTACACATAGAACTTTTGCCACGGAAATGCTGAAGTCCTACTCTGACAGCGTGACTCCGATGCCCACTTGGCAGGCTTTGCGCAAAGAATTAAGGCGAGGTTGGAGAGGGTGGGTAGGGTGGGGAGGGACAAAGTGAGAAGGGAGGCGGATGAAGTGACCACACGTACATGAAACCTCTGCAGTACATGAAACCTCTGCAGTTATGGCCAAATCATGTTTTTTAAATAATTCCATCTTCCCTACCCTTTGGTCACTTCCTAACGCCGGCTGGACGTTAGGAATGCTAAGCCCCAAAGTGAGCAAGACACCCTCGTCCCAGGACTCAGGCTGGCAGAAGCGGACCGGGCGGAGGGATCAGCTCTCCCACATCCTACGGAGGAGCCTTTCGCAACCCTCGACTCCTGCCCCGGGCGAAGTCCTCCGGGCCCGCGAGGGCGCCCGCAGGCTCCGCCCCTTCCTCGGCTTGCTGCCCGCCAGTCCCGCCCCTGCTCCGCCCATCGCGCGGCGGCCCCGGGGGCGAGAGGGGGCGGAGCGTGGAGGCGGCAGCTGAAACCGCGCAGCGCACGGGGACGCGTCCCGCTCCTTGGGTCTGGTGCGGCGGTCGCGGGAGCCCCACCGTGCAGTCGGAGGTGAGTACCGACGTTGCCCGGCCCACGTCCCCAGGCGGGAGCGCCGTCCACCCTGTATCCTTCGGGAGTCGGTGCGGGCCTTTACCGAGGTGCCTGAGGCAGTGCGGCCCGGGGGACTCGGAGGCGAGCTTGTGGAGGCTGAGAGGAGAATCGGGGACGTGTTTCTGGCGACTGACGTCCCCCCAGTCCCCAGTCTATGCCATGCCGAAGAGAGGGACCAGGGATTGGAAATGGCTTTCCTAGACCCTCTTAGCCTTGGCTGTGCGTGCTGTCCTGAAAGTCCTTGTCTAGGGTGTGCGGCCGATCCTGGGAGTCCTAACCCCGAGGCCGTGAGGCCCGCACTGGGAGTCATCGCCCAGGCCCGGCTAGCTGGGTAGGGAAACGCTTGCTAAAGTTGTGCGGGCAGATCCGGGAATGCACTCCAAGGGGTAAAGGGAAAATGGGATGAGGGGGAAGAGACCCTTACGTGGGAGGCTTGAACACAGAGCCCACCCTGATAGATTCAGAGATCCAGAAAGGAGCTTGGGCTGCAGTTATGACCAAGTCATTTTTTTCCACGTTTAGCTAGCACATCGTAATGGCATCTTCCTTCTTGCAACACACACAATTCTCTTCCCTGGGGGACAACCTCTAGGACAGAAGTCCCCAAACTTTTTTTGGGACTCAGTACCCCTTTACACTCTTAAAAATTAGTATCTTAAGGAGCTTTTATGTGAGTTATATCTATCCATATTTATAATGTGTAAGACAGAAATTTCTACTATATTTAATAATTCATTTAAAAAGAATAATGAGCTAATTATATCTTAATATTGCCTATTTTTATGAAAAAGAACTATATTTTCCAAAACAGAAAATTATTGAGAAGAATGGCATTGTTTTACATTTTTGCAAATCTCTTTGATGTCAAGCATAATTGAAGACAGCTGGATTTCGATAGCTGCTTCTGCAGTCTGTTGCAGTATCGCATATCATGTAGCCTCTTGAGACCTCCATTGTATACTCCTGAAAATGCGTGAGTGAAAAAAAGCGAGTAACGTTTTATTACTATGAAAGTGGTTTTTGACCTTGGAGATCCCTAGGAGTTCTCTGCACCACACTTTGAGGATGCTTCAGAGGCTTCATTCATTGGGCCTGCTTCTTGTTTGTGATCCTTCCTCTGAATGGGAACACTTACCACCCCATGCCATGGACAGTGTTAACTTCTGGTATCTGGAACCAAGTTTGATCTCACTTTGGAAACCATGTACTAGGTCCCCTGTGAGGCTGTGATGAACCTTGCCAGCCTCCTGAAAAGTCAGCACGGTTTCACACATGCCTTTGGTTGTTTCTGTGCCTGCAGAACTGACCTGTCTGTTCATCAGGATTACAACAGTGATGTGGCAAACAGGACATGTGGGCTCAGAAAAGTACCAATGGGAAGACCGTGCCAAGTGTGTAGGGGTTCGTGTGATAGTTACCAAGTAGTCAGGAAGTTATTTCCCAAAGAACAGGGAGGCATGCTTTTGCCTTCCCTTGCACGTGTTCATTGCTGTTTGCAGTTGCATGGTTATTAGCCTTGAGTTTATTGGAATAATGATTCCCAGTCTTGATGTTCTTTCACTTTCCACTTTCAGAGGTGTATCACTCTGAGTGATGCTTCCTCAGCCCCTGTCAAAAAGCAATTTCCACCATCCTGCAGTGTGGTAGGTGAGGTCCTTCATGGGACTCTTTCCTTAGCTTTGTGCCTTGTCAGAACAAGTTCAAGACAGATGTTACGTGTATATATATGGGATGAAGAAATTTTCTGACTCCATCCTCCCTTTTGTTCCTTCATCCATAGAGCCTCTTGTGCTCTGATGGATTAGTTTAAATGCTACGGCCGATACTTGAGAAGTGTTGCATGCACATGAGCATGTTGTGTGTGTTGCACAGTCCACAGGTGAGAAGGAGAAGTCCACAGGAGAAGGAAATGGGATCTAAACTCTGAGCACCTGCTGTGTTCTTTGTATTAAAAAATTCCACTTTGGTGATGGGGTCTCATTCCTTCATTCTTTCAGTAGATTTTTATTGGCCACCTCTTTCTCATGTGTCCAGTTACGTGCTGGATGCCAGGAAAGTAGTGAGCACAAAAGATGCAGTCCCTGTCTTTCTGGCAATTATGGTCTGATAGCTTAGATAACTGCTGGTGAATTGAGATAGTCTGTTGTCAGAGTGTACATGAAAGCTGGTCCTGTGTGAAGAGCAGTACCCCCTACCTAAAGTGTGCCTCAGAGGCATGTGCTGAAGAAACCAGAGTCCCACACTGTTAAGATGATGATAAAAACCAACGCGTATCACCAGGTACCTGGCAAAGAACTTCCTTTTCCTTCTTTCCCCCACTCTTCCTTCTACGTAGGAAGTAATTTCCTGGGAGGCAGCCAGACTCACAGGGAAATTACCTCCAACCTGGTGCCAGTCACTGGGCCAGCCTCAGGTTAAGACACCTTCTCTGGGTCTCAATGTCTTTGACTTTAAAATGAGGAGTTAGGCCATTGATAGTAAGTGTCCCAAGGCATACTAGCGTTTGTGCATATCTCTTCCTAATTCCGTGTTCAGTGGCAACACCTTTTTTTAGATTGAAATAAGCCATGGTGGGAATAATTACACCATGGAAATCAGCAAATACTACATCAGAGTTTTTTTTTCCTCCTGGAATTCAAGTTGTTAAACCTTTGCCAGCTGACACGGCTATTGTCTGAGCTAAGGTGCTTTTGGTTTGTTTTCTTAGTAGAAAACAGACTCTTTAGCCTAGACAAAGATCCTAGATATAGGGTGTATGATTCAAGTCCTCTAAAATTTTTGATAAGAAAAAAATATGTTTTCATCATATTCTAAAATATAGATCAGCAACCTTTTTGTGTAAAGGGACAGGTAGTGAAACATTTTAGGCTTTTTGGGTTATGGTTATACAGTTTCTATTGCAGCTACTCAGCTCTGCTGTTGAAGCATGAAAGCAGCAATAGACAATATGCAAACAAACGAGCATGGCTGTGTTCCAATCAAACTTGATTTACAAAAACAAGTGCTGACCTTAGTTTGCAGACTCCTGACCTAGCTTATCAGAACAAGAACCATGTTTCAAAGAGATAGTTTTATGGAAAAGGAGATTCTTCAGGACTTTATGCATGAATACCAGAAACTTGAGTCTCCAAGATGGATATAGAAGGCAGTAGTAACTGTAGAGGATTTGGAATCAATCATAGAAGACTCCATAGTAGGTTGTTTAAAGAAAGGCCAAGTGTGGTCAAGTTTGGAGGACAGAGCCACATATGGGTCTTATTCCTAACTCCCTCCCTGAAGCCATCTCAGATGTTATGCTGGGATGGATGGACCTGCAGTCTAACCCATTGTGTGAATTTTGCGTATTATTATGCAAAAACTAGTAGTGTCTCTAAGAGCTATCTTGGTTCCAGGGGCAGAGACAAAGGAAATGTTAAAAAAGGATGGAAAGGCCTAGGCATGGTGACTCACGCCTATAATCTCAGCACTTTCAGAGAGGCCAGATTGCTTGAGCCCAGGAGTTCAAGACCAACCTGGGCAACATGGCGAAACCCCATCTCTACCAAAAATACAGAAAAAAAAGAATAGCCAGGTATGGTGGCACATATCTGTAGTCCCAGCTACTTGGGAGGCAGAGGCAGGAAGATCACCTGGGAGGTCCAGGCTGCAGTGAGCCATGATTGTGTCACGGCACTTCAGCCTGGGCAACAGAGTAAGACCCTATCTCAAAAAAAAAAAAAAATCCTCGTTATATATGTATATGATACATTGTAGAGTACACTGTGTGTATACCTGTGTGTATGCATATTTATACATCTAAGTGTACATTGTGTGCGTGTGTCATTACATATTCCATTCCATGTATTTAAAGTAGCGTCATGAATGTTTAGAAGACAGACCAGTAGCCAGTTCTGGGCAGTGGAATGAGGTAGCAGGAAGCCAGAGAACTTTTGTTACTTTTCGTAATACCAGATGTGTGCCTATCTTACAAGGGAGAATAGCCTGTAGCATTCATATATTGCTTTTACAACCTAAAAAACCTAAAATCTCAACAACCTGTACTTTTGGAAGGAAAATAGAGTTATTTGATAGGAATGTTGCCACCATCCTCCTCCCCCAATTAAAAAAAACTTACTTTGTCATGTCACAGCTCTGAACTTGTATACATAAGATTAGTATATGTTAACAAAATAAGAGAGAGCCTCTCAAGTTGAAACATTTTATTTAACAGTATTAACATTTGACTCTTGTCCAGGGTTAGAAATACTAGGTCAAAGTGTTCCTTAGCAAGCTATTATGCAGCCTTTACACTGGTGTTACAAAATGCTATTGTATAGTTTTTAAACTAAAAAAGCATGTTACACAGCAGTATTTCCCTGTGATTCTATATTTCTCAGTAGAGAAAGCATGTGCATATATGTACACGTGTGCCCCTCCCTGCATGTATGAAGGCAGCAGATACGCCAAAACATTGAGTGCTTTTCTCTTGGTGATAGAGCACAGTTGCTTTTTAGATTTTCTTTTCTTTAGCTTATTGGGGTTTTCAAGCATGAATAAATACTACATTTGTCATTTCCAAAATCAACCTCTACAGTGTGTTTACACCTGGTATGTTGAGGACAGTTCCTCCATCTTTCTTAGACAGTCTTACCACCAGCTTACCTGGTGGCAGACCCCAGCTACTCTTTCGCAGTGAGAAATGTGAGGAGTGTGAGGCCTGGGGAACCAAAAAACAGGCACATTGACCACATAGTCACATTGTGCTGTGTCTGCTTCCCCTGTAGAGTCTGTCTGACCTTGGCCTGCCCTCTCACTTCAGTTAACTGGCCCCATCGGCTGACCGTCTCCCTAGATCAACTGGCCTTCATTTTTTTTTTTTTTTTTCCTTTTCTCTATTTTTAATGGAAAATCTCAGACATACAAAGTGGAGAGGAGAGTATAAACCCTCAGTCTCAATGACTGTGAACAGTGATAATTGG